CGCGCAGCTGTAGTAATGGTATCAAATGCCGCACCACATAGTGATTGGAGTAGGTTTAGACGATGTGCCCGTATCGTCAAACCATTTGGTACATCTCGTATGGCTTCAGTATTTTCAGTGAACCAGTTTTTAATGTACTTAAATGATAAGGGAATTAAAAGAATAAAATCTCTCACCTTTTTGAATTTACTGAAGACCTCTGCCAATGGATTGAAAAAGGGACTATATGGTGGGAGAAATCGGACATAGTGGTTGGCATTTAACTGCGCATCCAAAGCTCTCCGATGAACGGGCGCATCGTCAAAGATGATCGAATGCCGCATGACGAGACTGCAGAGAAAATCTGAGATGCACTACTCCTGTGAACAAAAATCTCGAATGTCTTTTGTGAACGATGTTTCTTATCCGCGATATATTATCGTATCCAAATCTCATGAACAAAGTTCACATGTGAATGGGAAACAGTGACTGAAGCTTGTGGGACTGTTAACAGAAAGGTTAAAAAACAGGAATAGGGGGAGGGGAGTCGTGTCTAAAGAATTGCGGGTTTGTGGCTAAAGGAATGCTGGTCAAGGTTAGAGGATTGTGGTTGTTGACTGAAGCATGAGTTACGTCATAGTGTGAGAAGTCTGTGGTAATTCACGATTTCTCTTAACAGTCGCACAAGCTTTAATCACTGTTTCCTATTCACATGTGAACTTCTTTCAGGAGATTTGGATAAGATCGTGAATAATGAACATCGTTCAAAAAAGACATCCCGCGGATCACTATTTCAACAGAGCACCGATATCTCCATGCAATCCAGCAGCTTCGGCAGTTCAAAAAATGTGGTCTACTATATGGCAAGAGTATTCATTTCGGGTTTCTTGTGCTTCAGTCAACCTTTTTTGTATAGCTGCGCATTGTTTTAGTTGTTGGATTGGTTTGGCCCATATGAGAATTGAATTAGGCGTGATCAAGTCTAGTGTGAATCCAATGCACTACAAGGTAAACAAACCCAGACCTCGGTTCGAACATGAAAATCAATTCACTGATCATTCACTGTACCGTGACATAAGTATTCAGGTCTACTTGCACCTATCTGTGCGATTCGTGGGCGCATCAGTGCATTTTTTGCTTGTCTATGATTACGGACACTCAAACATAGATGGACTAGGTCGTGTGACAATGACCAAGAAGTCGGTCATTTGACAAACATCTAAACTTAATCAAGAAGTCATTTACGGCAAAACAAACAGTCAGATCGGAACGGGATGAACGTGAAGTGATCAAAATGAAATACTGATTAAGCAAAGGACAATGCGGAATAGAAATCCAGTGTGTTGTAACCACACACGATTTAACTCGGTATTGGATTCACAAAGAATCGTCTTCCAGTAACGTTTCTCGTCCAGATAAGAACTCCATAGGTAGTAGAATAGAACACAGCTGAAACCGTGTAAGAACTTATTAATCATGCAAAAAGCATGGTTATTTATAGGAAAGAGCGAGGACAGAAGGGCATATATCACACGATTGGCTGACTGGATTGCTATCAATCGCCTTGATTGGCTGGTGGTTTCAGCCAATCACATGAGTTCGCCTATCGTTGTTCTGATTGGTTGTCCCGGAACAAAGCAGTTTTTAGGGAACATGCTGACTCCCTAACACAATGTACCCAGTCAGCCCTATGATTGATCGCTTTTGATTTCTTGAAAATTGATTCAACCAGTATCTACTCATTGTTCTAATTATTATCAGGGTCTAATTTATTTGCTCACAAATGCCATAAGATGTCTTCCAATAATAAGCAGGAGAGAGAGTATTTTCGGAAAGAATAATGACTCACCGGTGCAAGTTATCCAGAGAAGCTAAATTTGTTAGTGCAAGTAGACCTTCGAAGTTTTGTAATCCATCACAATCGATAGCCAGCAGCTTGAGAAGAGGACGAACCAATTCCAGTGACTAGGATCGAAATTACGTTGAATCGAAACATAAATATAAAGTATTCAAATGCGATGGAAATGTTTGTGATAACCAAATAAAATGGGCTAGTCCAAGCTTGATACTCTAAAGTAATATAAAGTAGTTCGCAAGGAATGAATTTTGAACGAAGGAAATTATTGTAACGACACAGCATCTGTATTTTCCTGAACAAATGTTTTTTCCACAGTTAGAAAGAAGGTAATGAGTGCCTTTTTTGTTGGAACAAGTGAAATGCGGACACTGGAGAATAGCTGACCCTGCATAAATAGGACCGTTACACTTTCGTAGGAAATTAGTGTTCCCACTCAATGCGCTACTAGACCGAGTAACTGCGACGTGGTACGACACTTTCCAGAACAAGACGACTCAGTACTTATGAAAAGTGCATTCTTCGAGCAGCGATGTCTGTAATCTGTAATGCACAAAATATACTTTACAGGGCACTGTGATCGCGGTCGCATGATGAGCTGGGTTAATACGCACGCGGGGAGATGAATTATGAGAGGCAAACATTTTGTTACAATTGGGATTTACAGCTTATGCTGTACATCACATTGCGTAGTAAAAGATCAGCTGACAGCATTGCAGCTGGTGAACATGGTGATAGAGTAATTCAATGAAAAACAAAACAGGTAAAATATCCTATATAATAGCGTATAGAGGACAGGGATGCATAGTGGATCTAACGTACTCTTTGACCGGGAAACGAAACACGGGGATCAGCTGTGATGGTCAAACGAGCCAGTGACTGAGCGGCAAACAACTTGCCAGTATCGGTGTTTGATTTGAGGGTCAGATCAAGTAACGCTTTACCGGCACCGGCTTGGATGAGTTTGCCACGATTCGGAATTTCTTCGGCAATGCTTAAGTAAATACTGAGAAAATGAGAAGTTGAAATGCGAATGATTAGTATTATCTATCGTCACCCATGAACGCAACCAGACACCCGCTGGACAGTGTGAGTTGAGTAAGTCTCACGGGATTACACTTAGCAAACCATCGGTGCGCATAACGGGTATCTTGAGCACTGGAAAAACCTAATTCATTTAGCGTGGGCAGGACCATATTCTCGCCTCATGAATGCGTTTTTGGAACAATCAGATCTCCTTTGGCGAAGGTAGTTTAATCAGACGATGAAGGCTAAAATTTGGGGCTCCAGGCATGTGAGTGGACCACAAAACAACAAACTCGTTTAAAGGGGCCGAAATGTTAAACTTACTAAGAGGCGTTACAGACACTCTTTAGAACATTCTAGCACCCATAAAAAGCACCACCGAGCAATAGGGAGGGAGCATGGAACATTTTAGTCTCCAAAAGACGTGATTCCGACGGACTGGATATCAACCAAAGATGAGCTTCGGTCTTGACACACCACCTCACCAGCAAGTGGGCTATGATTTGGCAAACCAACACCTCCCGATGTGAAAAACTGATAAAAGAAAATGTTTTGGTCCTGAAAAACTTGGAGACATGCCAGCCACAAGACAAAAATTAACACATTTGATCTCTAAAAATAGAATGATGATGATGTTATATATATATATATATATATATATATTTAAAAGGACCTAAAATGAGATGATCAATGAGAATAACAGAGATTGGAATCATGTCGCCTATCGATTATCAAAAACTCAAGGGGCATCTTTTGAACTTTGAGCTGAGCACCACATCAACATGGGACGACTACCCCGTCCCTCCGTATCCTGTGTTAAGCACAGACACAAACGAGTTGCGATTAACTTTGAACTTTTAACCCTTCTGTAAACTTACATCACATCTACACTCTATTGGTCAGATAAATAATCACTATTCGCTCACCTGATCGGCTATTTATCTTCTGCATGGAACTATGGACGTATATTTGACAAAAACAGCGTACCTAAAGCGTGAAGTGGATGTCATCTGCAGTCATCAATTTTCGTATGAATCGCTTACCGACGTGAAATGATTGAAACTTTTTAACATAGCGCGCAAAAGCTGAGCTAAAGATCGACCGCAAAACGAAGATAAGCAGTGGATAACTAGGGAAATTTGCAAAACGGCACTATATGCCGAAGACTCGGATTGAGATCATACTGACGGTTGGAAAGAAAAAGATTTACAATAGTTGTTGCCCTTCAGAGAAGAACTAGCCAACCATAAAAAAAATACTGTTTGAAATTTGATCTTGAACGCAAGCATATTTCAAACCGGTTATACATGCGTAAAACGATCAAACAGTTCGGTCCCCAACATCGATCAAAAAACCAAACTGTTCAGATGCAGCAGCGATGTTACTTAATTTAACAGGAACAGCATTGGAGTATACTGTGCCACGGATCACTATTCGGTAATACAGTTGTTCAAATTAGTCACCGTTACGGAAGTAATCATGACGACAGGTCGTCAGATTAGTCCGGATCTTAGCCTCCTTTTAGTGCACAAAAGCGTTTAACATAAAACATTTACCTGATTGGCGGAAGGGAAGTAACCACTCACTCCAGCTCCATACACTATGAAAGATAAATCGATAGTGCTTTGATATTAGTTATTCGTCACCTTGAAAAAGACATGATGTTAAGATACAACGATAAATGAATATCTGCAACCTGTAGAAAGCGATCGAGAGATGAAGCTCACAGACGTCGGCACAATTAAACCATAGTTTATTCAATCAGCCATGGTATATGTATTGCAATTTTTCTAGGAGGAATTCAAAAGCAACCGGGTTTGATTACCTACATGAGAGAAACCAACACTCGTTTATTTTGTAGACTATTTCTAAGGTTTTCAATCAAAAGCAGCGCCAAGGCATTGAGCCATCGACCGAGTTGAAGAACACCCTTAGATAGAGGATGTAACCACAAAAAGGTCTAAAACAAGCCTGGTCTTCACGTGTGCGCCAGATAATCGACGGAGTATATTTCATGCAAAAAGGTAAAAGTTGTTGTGGTACTCACAAGAGGATCTGTCACCTTTCTGGCAAATCGCTCAGGTGAGTGACCCATACCATTTAGATGGAAACTATGTTATCAACTACTGAACAAAGTTTTCTCGCTAACTCAAAGAATAAGGTAGACCCTCCATCCTCAGATGTCGCAGCGAACAAAAGTTTGGGACAGAGACATTTCGAGATAACCTATCATCCGAGTAACCTCTGTAGAAGGGGCCTTCAACTTAGTTAACCGCGAAGCTCTGATGGACTCCCTACTTCGAAAAGGAATGCCCCAGAAGTACGTTAACTTACTGAGGTCACTGTACTTACATACCTCTAGTCAAGTGAGGGTTTACAATGAACTAAATGGGTCAGTCGTCACCAGCAGCGGCGTTCGTCGAGTGTGCCTTCCTTTGCTATTCCTGTTCAATTTCGCCATGGACGAAATACTGGAGAGCGCACTAAGTGGTCTCCGAAACGCAGGTAGTGAATAGACAGCTAGAGAAAAACTGTGCGATTTGGAGTACGCCGATGACGTCGTCTGTCTGTATGGGAGATGCTTAAAGCACACTTGATAGATTAGCAAGTGATGTTAGCACATTCGGTATGCGCGTTACACTTTCAAAGTGCAAACTGATGCTGCAAGACTGGGTTTCGCCTAATCCCGCTCTGACACCAAATGCCCAGGAATTAGTTACGGTGAATTGCTTTCCCTACTTAGGCAGTTGCGTGACCAATGACGGTAGCGCAGCAAGGGAGATAACTGCCCGCACTTCCAAGGCTTAAGCAGCATACGCAGGACTGAAGCATCTTTGGCGTAGACGCGATGTTTCATTGGAGTTGAAAGGTCGTGTATATAGTGCCACCGTTCGTTTAGTTCTGCTTTATGGTTGTGGGACCTTGAATTTGCGAGTAGAAGATACCCGTCGAATAGAAGTTTTTGATCAATGTTTACGTAGTTTAGCCCATGTGGGGTGGAGCGAACGGGTTAGTAATCTGGAGGTAAGCCGTAGTATATTCTGGAGTTCATCAGGTACAAACCAGCTAGCTCATCGAATCCAGATTAGTAAGCTTCGCTGGCTACGGCACGTATCTCATACGTCCAGCTGTCGTCTGCAGCACTGCGCTTTATTCGCCGTAGCCGCTCCGGGTTGGAAGAAACGTGAATGTCAGCAGAGGACCCCGAGACGAGGCACAAGGAAATGCACAGGGCCATCAAGTGGAGTAGGTGTTTCGCGCCTTCCAGGTAGGGGTCTGAAAGATTCGCAACTGGTTGGTTGGAGACATTGAAGGATATAGAAGCGAACCGACAGCAGTGGCGTTCTTGTTGTCATTTATTATCAGGCCAGAATGCTTGAAACGGGAGGTATGCGGAGTTTGATTGTGTACTCTGTATGTTGACCAGAGTGGTTCATTTTCTTCACTCCCTCAGAATAAGTCCAATCCCTGTCTACCTTAAATATTACCACTAACCTTGTATGCGTTCCGAGTTTGGCAGCGATCAGTTTGCTCCACTGTGTTTCACTGAACGATGATGATGAAGAAGCTCGGTTGATATCTATCGGCATGCTTAACCGTACTCCGGATGATGATGGTTAAAGTATTCGAACAGTAGCCGGTCGGGTTCTATAGCGTTACGTTAATGACATTTATTATAATGTCATTAACGTAACGGCGGAAAATGCTCAGTTTTACAGTTTTGTTCCTCATTTGGTGCTTAAGATTACCGATGAAAATCTTCACCCGAACACGCCACGATGAAACGAAAGAATGCATCGTTTTTCTGGACATGGAGGTTTCACACCGAACGGATGGTTCCATCAGAATCGACCTTTGGCCGCATGCACGCAATGAAGCGGGCGGGACAACAGCTTATAGGCTGGAGGCAGTCCAGTATGGACGGGCGCCAGTGAAGACTTCTTGCACCGTGGAGAAGCTCTGGATATCTTACCCCTAAGTCCATTTAGCAGGGTTTGCACTGGTCAACTGCTCCTCGCTGTGTTTATTTACCGGAGCGGTCCCTCCAGGGGTGAAAGTGAATAGTCAAAGGAAGCCAGGTGTCCACCACACACAGATCGACTATCTTCTCAATCACACAGCCTGAAGGATAAGGCTTAATCATTGTATAAGAAATCACGCTCACACTGCGAAAAGACTGGATATCGTTAAAGTGCAAGCTCCTCGTTTTCAAAATTAAGGTGAACGAAATATAAATGGATGACCAGTACTTGAACACTGTTAGCACAAGTCGCTAAGCAGGTGTTCAAGACATGTCTCACCGAGCAATCAGTTCTCGTAATCCGTGTTGTCCACCAACAGGGCCGGCGGCTAGACGCATTGTTAGATTGTACAAAGTGACAGACAGGCCCGCATTAACAAGGCGACGGCGGCGTTCGGTCACGTGTGTTGCAGAATCCAACGGATGCTCCTCCGGGATGTGCTGCTTGGAGAATTTGGCCAACTCCAACATCTCTGGTTCAATTTGATTTTTTGGAAAGCTGTTTGTCAACTGAGCGAGAACACTGGCCAATGGAAAGGCGCTTTCTTTGAGATCCAACTGTAGTACAGAACAAAGTGAACAGGAAAACGCTGAGGAAAATGAGTCGTATTTAGGAGATGAAAAGCAACACACTATTGTTCTTCATTTGCTTAGGCTCTCCGCTGACCGGTAATCGAAATATACGTTTGTGATTTTGTGCAGTGTTTAACGCATCAGAGCTTGATCAACCTTCAACGTCGTGTGACGACAATGCTTCTCACTAAGCACTAGGCATGGAACAAGTCCATTTGAGGAGACACGTCATAATAAAAGATAAGGATTATGCATTTGTGTCACTGTCAGACCTAGAACAATCCAGATCCTATACTGGCATTTCCCAATTGCATAAAGATCAAACAGGAAACAAATTGCTTTTAACCATTCACTAACCATTAGTTGATGACAACGAGTAATCATCGGATGCCACTAGGAGGTAGGTATAACGTGAGTTTCAGAAGTTCTAATCCATGACGTTGGAGTGGCTACAGTAGCGGTAAATTCACAAAGCATGCATAATCAGACTCATCGGTAAAAATAAGTCCATTGCTATTCACGTAAAAGTTAATGTATTTACCGCGGCCACGTGGAACAGCAGACAAACGAATTCCGGATCACCGACAATTTCTTCCTTGACTTCAGCATTCAGACTTAGATATGCCAAACCCTCTATTGCCCATCGTACTGTTTCGGGGTCTTTCAGAACATGCAACTGCGATACAGAAAGTGTAGTGGATTCTGCGGACGACTTTTTCGAGCCGGCACTGACCGTTTTCTTCTCAGTTACCTCTTCGTCTTCGTCCTCCTCCGCTTCCTCCTCGACAATTACCTCACCAGTTTCTGAGATCTTTGCTCCGGCGCCACGTACGGCCGCTACCTCGTCCACTTCCGGTGCAGGTTGATAAATGCCCATTAACAACCGGCGGCAAGCCTTCATCAACAGGATTGAAGAGCCTTCAGTTAAACTTTTAATGCTCACATCCGAACCACCAGCGGCACCGAATTTGCAAAGGGCCTTTTAGGAGCAAGAAATATCCAGGGTCAAAGCAGAATTAATTTCATGCAATTAGGACGCGAGTCAGAAAGAACAAAATCATTTCATGATCGATGGAGACAATTGCGATCTCGTACAAAGACAGTTGTCAAAATCGAATCTAGTAAGATAACAACATGGTGTGCTAAACTCAACCACAAAGGACAATTTTTCGGTTTCGTCATTTATTCATACATAGTTTTGAGACCGGATATATGTGAAATCCAAATATGGTTTAACACAGGTAAACTCGTGAGTAATGGATCAATAAGGAATGAGAGCATGAAAAGGGTTAAAAGAGTGGACAGCACTACAAGAAAATGAAATTGCTTTCCAGAAATTGAGGAAATTTAGAATGAAATATGGTGTTCCACATGGATACAAATGCTTCAGCATCCAGCTTAATTAGTTCATTTTTCAATGATAAGTAAATACTTCAAGAATTTCGGATGTGTATGGAGTAGAGCAGGAAAAAACTGATCAACTTAGGTGTTACGTAAAATGCAACCGAGATATCCGCTAGGTTGATGTAACGCTCACAAACAGATTACCGAACGTTGCAGATATGGGATTTTTGTAGTAGACTAAATAGAGATGAAAGGTCACTGCTGAATAATCGGCCCCCAATTCTATACTACATCTACTTCAAGTGAACATCATCAATGGTATCCTACTAGGAACCCCACTAACCGATTGGTGCTTCAGCCGTCACACTCCACCGATTGTACCGGGTCTATCCAAACCCCATCCAGTCGGAATGAAGTGAGTTCTTCATACATAAACAAAAGTACCTTTTGAGCGAGGTTGAAATTTTCGGTGGGGTGGGGTTTGACCGTTCGTCCATCAACCTGGGAATGTTATGTCTCTGACCGTTGAATGAGTGAGATTTAGACGATGAACGAAACCGGCATTAATTGACCTCAGTCGGTCGAGTACCGAAGCGAATCACGTCAAGGTGGATTGGTAAATCGGTCACCATTTTTAGGCGTTGGAATGAATCACTGCATGGATAGCCAGCTGAGTAAATTCCATTGAGACCGAGGTTCCTTCGAACAGCACCGATTCGTTTGAACCAAATTCAATTGCCTACTTATTTGTGGCATTGAAAGGCACACTTGACAAGATACTTAACGAGTATAGTGAAAGAATGAGGTATATTCCACCTAACTAGCAAGATCGAAATTGAACTGATTCACAGGCTAACGGAACTCGCATTTCTTCTCTGTGATTCCCAGAGTGACTACTGCATCCTATCTACAATACCAATAGCAAAAACTTTTTATCTACAGCGAAATATGTATACATAGCAGCTACATAGCCACAACAGAATCAATTAGGTAAGTACAAATACAGTAGAGTTATAGAAAGCAAGGACAAAGCAAAACACACTTTGCGACATGAGCGAATTAAGCTCAGAAACATTCGTTCCGGGTAACTAAAAAACGGGTGAGGAAAGATACCACAGAAGCCATAAAGGTGGTTGTAGAATGCATACAGTCATAAACGAACAAATACACATTGCTGCAAATTTCCACAAACGAAGAAAAGCCGGAAGTATTGAAGAACACATGAGCAATGAAGGATGCTGCAAACCAATGGAAAGTATCGCGTTTCTAATATAATTACTAAACTGAAACAGTCACAGAACACGAACCGTTTGCCTTCCAAAGTATACCTGGATTACCATTCGGTTCGGATTCAGTAGGCATTAAAACTAAATTTAAGTATTAGATATCATATAATATAGAAATTATTTCTCCTAGAAGCGAGAAAACCAACTCATTGTTTCAGTTTCAGTTTGAACAACCATTAACCACGCATATTCAAGCGCCGGTTTTGGTTGCTGTCTTTTGGCTGCCCATTTGGATGAAGAATAGGAGAAGAAAGGAAAGTTGAAAGTGGAGTCAAACAAAANAGTGGTCTGAGGTTGCAAAGAAATTGAGGAGATGCACGAACGCCACTGTTTACGAAACCCAGCCATATTGCTCACTGTCTCTAACCATCGGTTACGATCATCCCGAGGTCCCCAGCCAGGGAGCCTAACAGGACCTATGTGACCCAGTCTCCTGGTTAGGGTTTTCATACCCTCGTGCCAGGTCTTAGCTTCACCACCCTTGGCTTTTTTCCACTCGGTATCTGCTTCGGCGAACATCGCTCGCCGTGGCAACCTATCTGGTGACATGCGTAACGCATGTCCCAACCAACGTAATATAAGAAGGTTGACCACTTGCTCCAGTGGGCGACCATATTTACCGAAAACTCTGCCCCTAACCTAGCATTACTCATCCGGCTACCCCACCAGATTGGTGCAATGCTGCGTAGACAGCGGTGTTCAAACACCGACAGTCTGTCTTTATCCTGTTTTCTTAATGGCCAAGTTTCTGCACCGTACAGCAGGACTGGCCGAACTGTCGCGGCATACACTCGATCCTTCACAGACAGCCGGATGTCGTGACGGCGCCACAGATGTCTCAAGTTGGCAAATGTTAACCGAGCCTTCTGTATGCGAGCTGACACTTCATCCGTGATGCGTCCACCGGGTGAGACGTAGCTGCCGAAATAACAAAACTTATCCACCTGCTCTATTATTGCAGTAGATCATCAATCAAGGAGTTGCCACGAGCACATCAGGAGAGGTTGGCCGTATTGTAGGCTTTAATCAACTGAATAATAGAGGACATTGCTAAAATAGGAAAGATGGTGGATATGAGTGCATATAACACACATACAACGAATAATACGAGAATTGTGAAATAATGTGGAATTCCGATACATGACATTCACCCCCACCAACTGAATGATAGTGATAGCGTGTAGTGTGAGAAATATTTACGGCTGGCGGAACAGTGGATTGTGTTTCGGGGTTGCTATATGTGTATATATTCGAGCGTAAAAGTTCATTAGCGACTGGATATGAGGGAATGCCATGTGGATGTGCACAAAACTAGGCTACTCTATCTCTCAACGAGTATGGACGCACTCGCTGCTGTAGTTACTGCAAAGTCTCAACAGAGCCTGGTGTGCTATTTGAGTTGTGTTGAATATCTCAGTTATCAC